GAAAAGCAAATGGATGGAACATATAAATACAACTTATGATGATATTGAATTTGATGAACAACATGACAAAGCAGAAGAAGAATTAATTGAAAACCATGTTCAACCTAACTCAATCCCTCCAACAAGTCATTTTATAGACAATATGCAATATCAAAGGGTTTTTGAATTCGAACAAGGAGTTCAAGGAAGAACAACAAGAATGAATTATGTTACTTCATGATGGTGTGATCTAGGGTTAGAAAATATGTGTCCCCCATTCAGAACCAAATGATTGCACGTCCAACACAGGCTAATGATTGTGCAGCTCGAATGATTGTATCAAAAAGAGATGAGAAGTGGTACATTTTAGCATTTGATGATGTACATATTCATGATCTTAGTCCAACAAAGTCGAGATTGTTCCGAGGCAATAAAAGGATGAATCTCAATGTCAAAAGAACACTAGACTTAAATGTCGAAGCAGAAGTTAGGATTAACAAGAGTTTTCGGTCATTGGTTTGTGCTACAAGAGGTTACAAGAACATGGAGTTTGTCAAACAAGATGTTAGAAATTATGTGACCAAACAAAGAAGAGCATTATCAAAAGATGGTGATGTTAAGGCACTCTTAAACCATTTCTCTTCCATGAGAGAATTAAATTAGGATTTTTTTTATTACATTGATGTTGATGACGACAACCACATATTGAATGTTGATAGTTGATAGTTTTGTTCATGGATGGGAAAGGATGATAACAACATTTTCACTGCACACGAATGAATGACTTTCTTCACTTTACGAAGAACGATGCAGGTGGGTTCCTTGTTACTTGAGAAACACTTTTTGGACTAGCATGTCAACAACTCAAAGAAGCAAGAGCATGAATGCATTCTTTGATCGATATATTAACTCACAAACTAATATTCAAGAATTTGTTAAACAATATGACAATGCACTACAACACAAGACAGAAAAAGAGACCCAAGTTGACTTCACGTCGTTAAACACAACTATTGCGTGCGGGTCACAATCACTCATAGAGCGACAATTCCAAAAGCATTACACACATGCTAAGTTTGCAGAAATATAGTCAGAATTTAGAGGTAAAATTAATTGTTTCGTTGATGGTGTTGTTGTAGAAGAAAATTCATCATTGTACAAGGTCATGGAGGAATCCATTCATAATTAAATAAGGTAAGAGAGGGTATTCATGGATACATCTCAGCGAGACATAATGAATGTCAATTGCAGTTGTTTTGCTTTTTGAGTTTAGGGGCATTATATGTAGACGTTGTGTGTGTCCTGGCACAATAGCGAGTAACAAAGCTTCCTGCTAAGTACATACTCACAAGATGGTGTAAAAATGTCCGCAGAAAGCACACGTATATTATAACAACATAAAACAACAAGGAAAATGATCCACATATTGAACGCTATGATAACTTATTCCAAACTTTTGGAGATATTGATGAGATTGCTTGTGAGTCAATACACCTGACACAATTATTAGTTGACAACCTTCGATCATTTGTGAACAAGCATGGCCTACAAATTTCACCTTCACTATACATCAACAACAACACCGACATAGAACAAGAACACTTGCATCATAGTAACATAGGTCATGATGTAGACACAACTACAAACAATGTTGAAATCAAAAGCCCTAAATCTATGAAGCCTTGTAGACACATGATATAGACACACTGTATAACCCCTGCAAAGTAATATCAAACACTAGTTGTGAAAAGGTTTAAAAAACTATTCAACCACCCCATTCCCCCACCCCCTTTTCTATTATTTTCTTGTGTTTTAGTTGGTATAAGAGCTAATTTTAGGAGAGAAGTTCGATTATTGAAAACAAAGAATGATTGCATTATTTGAATCTTTTCATAATAACATGTGGGATGTAGTTGAAAATGAAAACTACATACCTTTAAACGAGAAGGGTGAGTTACTAGATAGAGGAAAATGGTCAAATGACCAAAAATAGAGGTATCTTCTTAACTTTAAAGCACTTAATTATATATGTATGCTTTATCTGAAGAGGAGTACTGGAAAGCCCACGCCTTCAAAGGAACCAAAGAAATATGAGACACCTTAGTAATCACATATTGAGGACCGAGTGAAGTATGGAGGAACAAGTTAGGTCTGTTAACCAGATAATACGAGTTGTTCTCAATGCTGGAAAATGAGAATATACAAGTCGTGTTCAACATATTTTAAACTATCTTAAACGAGCTAAGATCCCTAGGTAAGATATATGATAACTTTGATAGCATTGACAAAATTCTTTGTAGCCTTACTTCTCTAAAAACTTCAAAGAACCTTGATGGGTTGAGCTTAGAAGAGCTTGTTGGGATCTTGAAGGTCCACAAGCTTGAGCTTTAGTAGGATGGGATGCTGAGAAAAGATAAGAGCATTGCTCTCAAGGCTAGATAGTGTTGAATACTCATCAGATGACTTTGATGAGGAGGTAGATTTCAACGAGTTACACTTTGTAATCCAAGCTTATAATGGACTCTTGTCTAATTCTTCAAAACTTTCAAAGGCTTTCCAAAATATTAGAAAGCAAAATAAAAAGTTTTCAAAAGAAAATGAATCCTTGAAGAATGATTTGATGTTGTTGAAAGATGAAACCAAACTACTAAAAGGAAAATTAGATCCTTACAAGAAATGGTCAAAACTATGTTGAATGATTTTAACACCCCCAAATACTTATGGCCTGAAGAAGTCAAAATAGTCTATTATATTCAAAACAAGATTTATTTAAGGTAAATCCTAGTCAAAACTGAATTATGGAAGTATAGAAAGCCAAACATTTTATACTTTCATCCTTTTGGATGTTAATGCTTTATTTTGAACATTAAAGATAGTTTAGGAAAGTTTGATTCAAAAAGTGACGAGGATATCATCATTGATTACTCTGAAAGCATTTAGAGTGTACAATTCTAGAACTTCCAAGATAGAGTAAGTCATTCATGTAAAATTTAATAAAAATGACTTTGACAATAAAATGTCAAGATGAAATTTTTGTAAATATGTAGATAAAAAAGTGTCAAAACCTCCTAATGAGTCGTCTTACCCAAAGGAATAAAAACATAAATCGCTACCTACCCATAATGAAGAACCCACACAACAAAATGTAAAGAATCACCCTAGCATTCAACAAATCCACGTATGGTTGGTAATTGGCACATCTTTACAACTTGAATGATGTTACAATTGTAGAAAATTAATATATTTGTTATGGTTCCTCTTTTAAATTTTACCAACCAAAAAGAATGAACAAAAAAAAAATTATTCTCTATCACAAAATTGCAAGAACTTGACACACCACAATAATAGCGCTAATTTGTTGTGAGCCAATGTTTGGTGTTGATCGACTAATCGTAGTGATGTTACCATTTTGACAATTTGAGGTGATGGTGTACTTTTTCAGTTTTCAGTTTACTTCCTTCATCACCAAAATCATTCTTGTGGTGTACAACTTCACGTTTGAAAACCTCCGTCTGTCACCAAAATCATTCTTGTGGGGTAACTTCACATTTGAAAAATATAAAATTTATCCATTTACCTAATTTTGAGATAAATCTATCCCCAATATGGTAAAAAGACTTGCAACTTTAAGCACGATCTCTCAAAACACTAGCTCAGCCTTCAATCACATAATTCAAAACTGCAATTGCAATGCCAACCTCTTTAATCTGAATAGGCACTTGATGAATCTGCAGACCAAATAGTTGCTTGACTCTATTTCATAAAATGATTCTACGAATTCTACTTAATAATTGGCGTTGCTTGCCACTTTTCAATTCAAAACTGCAATCACGCTCGATTCAATCAATCAGCAAATTAATTTTGCTTCAATTAGTTGATTTCAGTTAAATCAAATTGCATCACCTTTTGGATGAATCTTGCTGTCTGCAATTCACTCGAGACAGCTCTTGCTTTGCAGATTCACGTTCTAATACGTTGAATTGATTGCACCGAAAATCTCATTGCCACCGTTTGCAACCATTCAGTCACGAAAAGCCAATTGTCGTATTTAATTAAATTTGAATCCACCCATGAAATAACGCACCCAACAATTCAATTTATGTTATAAGAAACTTTCGGAGACTGGTACAGAAATACCATATCTATTATAAAAATGCAAAATTACGGAAACATGCAATATAAACTTCGATGATCAAATGATCAAACCTGATTACACATTAGAGGGTACCTTTTTGTTTTCTAGACAACTTTTGGCAAACAATTAATTAAAAGATTAAGAAAATGACACAAGATGGAAAGACGACAAAGACCAGTCGAGAAAAAATTATCACTTTAAATTAATAATTAAAAAAAAAACATTAAAAATCTAAATAGAATTTTTCTAAGAGTATAAACCTACAGTCATTCGCTTTCGCTAGCTACACGGTTCAACAAACTATTTAATTAACTAATAAAAATAATATTTATAAAAAAATTTAACAAAAAAACATATAATTTCAAGTTTTTTTTCCTTTTATCATCAATTGCATTTTGAAAAAAGAAAAAGAAAAAAAACTTTACCTATCAATTTAAGAATAGCTTTAACTCTTCCAAATCTTGCCTCCTTCAACCTTTATTTGCCACTTCCAATTTTCCACAAAAGAACTACTTAAATGGAAACTCAAATGTCATACAAAGCATTTCTCTCTCGTTCGCCGTCGCAGACAAATAACACAAATAACTAGGTTCACATATCTTCCGAAAGAACCATATCATGACGGCCTCCTCGACCATATAAAAAACAGAAGTTTTGGTATTTGTATAACTTAACAAAACCCCAAAGGTGGCTAATGTAACTTACAATATAAATTGTACTTTGTATATGTCAATCATCAATACAATAAGGTATTTCTAATGTTGCCGACAGAACTACAACAATCTTAAGAGAAGCTTCCCTTACCAGAAAACACGAGAGCACAGAAAAATGAGTCATAAGGCTCGGTACACACAACAAAACAAAGTTCTTCTAGACAATAATGGTCTCAGCTCAAAAGGACAGATATGTATTAACACTTCACCATGATATCAAATTTTCTGGGCGTTAATCATTCTCTCTCTCTTTAACTTCCAACGACCTGGCTTAAATATCATTGTTAAATCACACCCATTCTTCACCACCATTAATCAAATATCGGCAGTTTAATATTTGAACACTAAGAAATACAAACATAAGGAAACATGAGCACTTATTCAAGATACATACATCACAAAGTCAACACAAACCATCTTCAGTCCATATAAGCTTGAACTTACCTCAACTCTGCAAGAGCAGCAAAAAATTTCAAAGAAGCCCTCTTCTTCTTTTGTAGTCACTGACTGACAGCGTCAGGGAATGCCTCCTGCCATCATTTTCCAATACTCTAAATCCAACTGTTGATTCTATCCTTTGTTTTCTTGCCATAAATCCTGCCTGAGCTCCTTGGGCCCCACCATATTTTTGAAGTAATGCCAACGAAATTGGCAGCTCAAAATTGTGCAGCATATTTGACTCTGTCCCTTGATCCACAGGAGCACTTGTATCTACTAACTTCCCAGCATCAGCAGCAGCTTCCAAGGCGGCAGCAGTAGCCACCATGCCAGCCTCCGCTGTAACTGGCACTCCTGCTGAATTGCTGCCAGGTCCAACCACTACACCATTGACACTATTATTTCCAGCTGCAGCCTTTTCACCAGGTTTTGCAGCATAATAATTCCTTGATCTAGTCCATCTCCTTGAAAATGGATCATAACCTGCCTCCCCAGCTTTCAAACCAGTATTCACAGGCTTCAATTCAGAGGCATTCTTGAAGTTCTCAAACCTATTTTTCCTATTCATCTCAGCTAGCTTCAATGCCTTGGCATCCTTCTGCTTTGCTTGTCTAGATGCCTCTAATTCTTGCAGTCTTGCTCTGATCCTCTCCACTTCTGCCTCATCATGCTTACTTTGTGCTATTTCCAATTCCCTCCTCAGCCTATCCTTCTCAGCAGCAACATTTAGTGGCCTTGTTGAGGCAGACTTTTTTTCTTGTAACATCTGCTTCACAGTAGCCGCTGAGTAGACAAATGTGATGGCCTTTTGAATAGCTTGTTTTTTTTCTAACACATCTTGCTTAGTGGGCATCCGGCCACCACTACGATCTACTTCCTTAACCCACTGTTTGAACTCCTCTTCAAGTGGTACAGAGTCACTAACCATAGCCATTTGCCACCTAGCTGCAGAACTTTCATTTCCCCAAACAACATTCAAATACTTGTATGTAGTTTTATTTTCCAATTTATACTGTCTATCAGGTTCTGATGCATCAACATTTTTCACCATGCAGAGTCGGTAGATAGGTGAAGTTTTTGATCTACCAATTCCTACTCTTACGAAGCAACCAACTATTAACTCCTCAAAGAAAGGCTCCATAAACCATTTGGCAAGTTTTGATCTGCGAATAGTTATTTCCTTTATATCCTGAAATGAAGGACCCTCAGAACCAGCTAATGCCCTATCATCATCACTGTCACCAATTCCTCCATCCCCGGTTGACCCTTCATCATCGCTGTGGGACCTACTTTCACTCTCACTATGACTTGAACTACTGAGACTAGTTGATGTGAATGGTTTGCGCTTTGGAGGAGAAAAATGTCGGGGCCCTGCATTTCTTGATGCCTCTCTCAGTTTGCGATGAGCTTCTGGATCTTGTTGCTTCAATCGCTTAGCACGCAGTTCATTTAGTGCATCATTCTTCGCTGACCTGTCAGCAGATCTGGCTGATGCACGCATACGTGATGACGACATAGGTGGAGACTGCTTTCTGGGCACCGATACCTTTCCTTTCTCACGCTTAGATGCTATTTTCCCCAATAAGTTTTTATCATCCTTTTTTGTAGCTCTATCTGACAAAATCATCTCTCTTTGAAGTTCAGTCATCTCAGAAAGCTTCCGCCTGTCATCCTCATCCTTGTAGAGATCATCACCAATATTTGATTCATCACTGCTGTCGCCATCATGATCACTACGACCATCATCATCATCTGCATCTTCCTGACTGCCTAAATCATCATCTCTTTCTGATGGATCTAACCTTTTCTTTAGAGGAACTTGTGATCCAGATGGCTTTCTGCTTGCATAATTGAGTTCATCATCTGAATCATCATCCCTAGAATCACTCCCACCATCTGAATAAGCGCCATCATGTCGTCTCCTTGAAGGCGGAAGAGAATGGCGATTTCTCCCAGATGTGCCAGTTCTCCCTGCAGCCTCCAAAAGCAAATTCTCCAAATCGGCCATAATTGACCCAGCTTCAACTTAAATATTACCCTGCATGCATAAAAAAGAATCCACAAAGGCAGTTGCAGATGAGAATACCATACATTAAATGAAAACAATTAATTTGGTGCATAAATGTATCTAAGCCATATAAGGTGGTGGTTATGATCTCTTTTACATTATCACAAAAACTTCTTTACACAGGTTTGAATCGTGCATTATTACTACATTTCTGCAGTTTGACCTCTTCTCATTATTACTACAAGACTTCTTCTAAAGAGAAACCAGTGCTTGGTACATGTGCAGTAACTTTAGTATTTGCTACATAGGGTTATTTAGGGGATTATGTAAGACACACCAATACTTTTCGGATATTGTACACAGGGTAGTAGATTTTGGATAAAGATTGACTGTATTAGACAATACAATACAATTCTCTACCCCCACCCATGATATGAATTGCTGCAACACTCTTTTTTTTCTCCCGAATCAATCTTGTACTGTTTGAATCTCTTTCAGAATTGCATGAATAATAATTCTGGTTTGATTCAATGCACGTGGGTGAAATTGTGCCGCCGCCCACAATATGAATTGCTGCAACACTCATTTTTTCTCCCGAATCAATCTTGTACTGTTTGAATCTCTTTCAGAATTGCATGAATCACAATTCTGGTTTGATTCAATGCACGTGGGTGGAATTATTTTTGTTCACACTTCAAAACCGCTAGGGTCATGCAACCCAATTTGAAAAACCCTAATTATTTTTGTTCTAATTTGATAAGGAAGAGAGACAAGATGGTTGTTCTTTTCTTTCCAGTCATGTTCAATCATTATTTTTCCTTTTTCTATCTTCTAGCCTCTCCACGTAATCTCTTTTCTCCACCTACGGCCCTCATCCACTTATCTGTCTTTTCCTAGTCTCTTTCAGAATCGTGATTCTGATTCGATTCAATGCACATGGGTGGAATTGTCATGGGTCACACTCCAAAACGGCTAGGGTCACACTCCAAAACGGCTAGGGTCACGCAACCTAGTTTGAAAAAAAACCCTAATCTGCTTTATTTTTTGTTCGTATTTAATCGGGGAAGAGAGACAAGATTGTTCTTTTCTTTCTAGCCATGTCCAATCATTATTTTTCCTTTTTCGAACAAATAGTCTCTCAGCCATAATCTCTTATCTCCACCTACGGCATTCACCCACTTATCTGTCTTTTTCTCATGTCTACTATATAAACAATAAATGTCGGTTATGTTCCCTTCTACTACTGCAGGGTTACTCCCTTCCCTTGTTTTACACGTACTACTGCTAAATTATTTTTCTACCAAACTCTTGCTTTAAATGTGTATCTTTGCATGTCAATGCCTTATCTGTAAGTGTATGTTCCATTTTTTTAATGTTTACGTTACAATTTCAGGATTCAAAATATAATATCACCGTTACATCTATTGTATCTGAATTCAACTACCATGAAACACACACATAGAAGTGGACTCGGGTCAATTCTGATTGGCTCAATAACATTTTTTTATTCAAACTAATTAATTTTAACCAGTTCAGACTCTTTCTACTTTGGATCTTTGACCCAAACAGAACCAATCCAACTAAGATTTATTATTGAATGATAAATAATGGAAAACTACGCAACACAATCTTTAGAGCATACTCAGTTATTGGTTGAAATTTATTTAAATCCACAAATGTTGGTGGTTCAAACCTCTCTTACAACGAGCCTCTCTCCAAATCTTATAGTTTCAAATAAACTCTATCCAATGGGTGTGCAGCAAGCATTCCTCTGTACAAGAAGCTTTAATGCATCCCAATGGATATTCTATATAAGGAAGTTGAATTTGGATATGGATTGACACAATGCACCTCTCTCCAAATCTTGTAGTTTCAAATAAACTTCAACCAATGGTTTAGTGTGCAGCAAGCATTCCTACGCTTTAATGCATCCAAATGGATATTCTACATAAGGAAGTTGAATTTGGATATGGATTGACACATGATTCATATAGGGAAGTGGTAGGTCATTTTCACATTATTACAAGTCTTCTCGTAAAGAGAAGTCGGACAATCTAGGTATGCAAGATCTCATGTTCACGCCAATAATGCAGTAAACAAATTATGACAAAGTGTTATTGATAGAATAATGCAAACAACCTTATACCAACAGAAACCATAACTAAAATCCATAACCAAAGTAAGCAAAATAAAGTTCATTAAAAAACATTCAAGAATAACAAGATCTTAGTATAAAAAGAATTGATAGATCTGAAAGCTTACTGCTGAAGAAACAGTCCAAGAAATACAGGAAAAAATAATCTAAAAGTTGGGCGTAGCCATCTATTGTAATTAAAATATTCAGTATAGTTGGAATGTTCATTCATGTGATCACAGATTCAGAATGTGAAAATATTAATTGCATGGAGGAAAAGAGAATGGGATAGACCGCTTGATATATAAGAGAAAACAATCCCACTTTGTAATAGGCACAAATAAAAAAAACTGTACTTTGCACAAAAACACTGATCATACCAAGAACGAATCTTTCTAACTTGATCTGTACAAGAAAAAATAAAATTTGAACAGTGAAGTGCAGTTTGAGAAAGACATTGACATACCTAGTGAAGACGCAGGAGGGAATAAAGGAGGGGAAGCCAGGCACTGTGGAGGAAGCGACACCTCCTTCGATGGTATCGACCACCGAAGCTTCTACGATGATGGACAGAGGCGGCACAAGCTCAGGGAAGGGGCCTGCCTGTGTTGTCTAGGGTTTCAGTTTCACAATCAGTCTTGCATTTTCTTTTCACAATCTCAAAACCAAAATTCTGATCTTTTTTCAAATGGGTACTATATTTTGACCTGAGCAAGTAAGCTCTTGTGACTCATGTTAGATAAGTTTTGTAACAAAATAATAATATTAAATTACATCAAAGCAGCATATCTTTTTTTTATTTCCATCCTTTCTTCTTTATGACATCATATAAAACATGACCGTCATGTCCTTTCATAATATATTCAAACTTTGTAAATTGTGTAATTAAGAACATAGTTTTAAATTATATAATCAAAAAATATAGTTTTAAAGAAAAATATTACAGATTATATAATGGAGATAATAAGTTGAAGTAATATTTTGAATTACCCAATTTAATTTATATTGTAATTAGAGTTGACTGATGGTATTTTTATCTTTATTTTAAGAGTTAAATAATTTTTGTGGTCTCTAATGTATTATAAAAAGGTGTATTTCATTTCAACCTGTGTAAATTACTATTCTAGACTAACAATGATTATATTTTAGTTTATTACCTAAATTCTTTTGTCACATAAAAAACGTTTTTATAATTTTTTTATGTCTTTTATATTTTTTTTATAAAATATAAAGCCTAAATATTTATATTTTAGTTTGAAGATGCAATACAATCTTGTTATAATAATTTAGAAAAAAATATATTTAATCTTTATTTTAAAATAAAAATACATTTATATCTAGAAAATAATATATATATATATATATATATATATATATATATATATATTTGTGGGTCTGTATATGTTGGTTTTTTAACATTTTAAATATTAATTAAATAACTTTTTATAAAAATTATAAATAAAAAACATGATATTATTAGAAATTTAATATTAAAATAAATGAGTAATATTTTTCATTATAAATTTTAAAATATAGTTTCATATATTTTGAACGTTTAAAATTGAAGGAGAAATATTTATATGTAAAAAATTAAAAATTGATGTCATATAAGTATTGATAAAATGAAATTGTGATTTGTGTTTTTTATATACAATACACGATTTCAACAAACCTAAATAAAAAAATATGTAATAAATATTTTCATAAATAAAAAGAAGCAGTACAAGTACAATATTTTTTTTAATATGAAACTACTTAATCAATACCTATAGTCATACTTATTTTTATCTTGTTATCTAACTAATAGAATTATTTATAAACATCGGAATATTGTTGATTTCCTTAAATGTAATTTAAGATTGTATAATTAAAACATGATTATTTTAAATCTAATAACTTCAAATATATTTTTAATAATTCTTGTATGATTAAAATATTTCCATAGTTTCAAATTAAATATAAAATATTATAATAACAGTTAACTATGTCTATTTTTTTTTTATATGAGGGGATTGAAGAAAGATAAATTTGCTTTGAAACTTTTGAGAGTGTTATGAATATAGAGGTTGAGGACAACTCTTTCGTACTTTCTGTCACTCGCTATCGTCTTATTGGGATCTCTTTCGTAATATTATTTAGTTTTTCTTCTTCCAAATTCATATTTGTAAAGGACATTATTATATTCAAATTGATTAGAATTCAACTTATTAATCATGCTGGATTTATGAAGAGTAATTTATTTTGTACTTACCGATATGTCAATTTCAAAATGAGAATTGATCGATTATATGATACAAGGCCCCAAGCGCTATTTGAAAAGATGTTTAAAGTTAGAAAGAAATTGACTAGTTGGTCAAAGTACAATGTATAAGAGGATGTTGACCTATCAGTTATATGGTAGAGAAAGGATTCAACTAAATCTACTTGATATAATTGTTTTTCTAAATATTTCAAAAGAAAATTTACAGTAATTAATTCTAAAAAGACATATTTTTTTTATTTTGAAAAAATCTCAAATAATTAGTTAGAAGAAATAAATATATGGAATATGGAAACACAACCTAATAAAAGAAAGTTTAATCATTGGTGAGGTTCCTATGGTGGAAATCTCAAATTGGTCATTTTTCTTTTTTTTCGCGTCTCAATTGGTCCTTATTTTTAAATTGCAGCAACAATTACACTCCTATCGATAAATTGGGCACGTTATAATTATGTGATTCGCACATGTCTTTTTTGTTTTTTGTTTTAAAAAGAAATTGTTAACAATCCTCACACTGTCGTCATCTCCTCCACGTCCCCACCATCCTCGTTAGACCTCCATGACCACTGGCCAGCTACCGTGAGTCCAGCAAACACATTTGTCTTCCGCCACAAAATCCTCACCATTTACAACTACCGTGAATCAAATCACACACACACACAGAAATCACGAAGTAGAGAAACCCTCACGCAATTCATCTCCATTATGCCACTGCTTCTTCTCCATCTTCATCAACCTACAGAGAAAAGAAAGAGGAAAACCCAGAAACAGATCCACTCGAAACCTAATTTGTCAAAGTCGCAACAGTTGCGCGAGCATCAACCACAGCCACGAGTCCATATGGAACCCTAATTTGGAACTAGGTTTGTTCCTCCTCTTTAATCTCCATGGCAACCTATAGGAAAATCAAGCTAGCAGCCTTCGCAAGCCCTAATTGCGACACCTAGAGAACCCAGATTGTGAACATTTTTGCATTGTAGCCTAAATTTTTAGAAACCCAATTGAACTCTAAAGTCGCGATTTGTTCGTAACACTAAAATCGTGCTACGAGAGCCACCACTCCATTCTTCACCGCAACACCAACGAAATCGCAGTCATTAGAACCTACAGAGAACCCAATCACAAACACATAAAACAGAGACAGTCCAAAATCGCAACCAACATCAGTTCATTTTCTTCGTGCAAGACGAACAAATTCAATTCCCAATACATAAACAAGACAAACACGAATGAGTCATTTTCAAACCTCTCACTAATACCCTCGAATAATAAGAAGTTTTTCCTAACTTTTTTATTTGAAAGAAAAAGCTAAAATCCATAACACCCAACATATGTCATCCACGTCATTTAAAAACATGATGACAATGCCACGTCATTTAAAAACAAAATGACTATGCCACGTCAACCTAACTATAATATTGTTCGGTCTAATTTAATGGCAGGGGTATAATGGTTACAATTTTTCCAAAATAAGAACTCAATTGAGATGCGACCAAAAAGAAAAGAACCAATTTAAGATTCTCACATCGAATGATTAAACCTAAAAAAAATCCATATTTATTTTGAAAAGACTAAGAAAATTTGTACGAGATTACAGAGAAAAAATATTTAAGCCTAAATGATTTAAATATACTTTTATAAAGTGTAATTTTTTAGAGAAATTCTTATTTTGTTTCCAAAACGTGATTTGGAGAGTTATATTTATTTTAAATAAAAGTTAAATATAAAATAGATTAATTTATTACTAAATGCATACTTAAATTAACTTAGCCTAAAATAATTATATGTTACTATGTCCATATGCACTCACTTTTATAACAATAAACAATAAAATATATTTAAAAAAATTAATTATTATAATACAATTAATTAAAAAAATATTACTATAATTTATATTAAAGTTATAAAAAACTTTCATGGAAAAAAAGTAATTTTGAAAATATTTTTCTTAATTTTCATGATATTTTAATTATGTCACAGGAACACCGGTAAATTTTCATCAAAATAAAAAGTAAAGCTATAATTAAAATATGTATAGAAAACGTAGTTATAAAATATTTTAATTTTTATTTAAAAAATATTATTATAATTATACAATAAAAACACTTCTAGTTTTTAATTTCTATAATATTATAACTATAAGGAATACTTGTAAAAATTTCAACAAAACAAAAGGTACAATAATAAAATATGTATAAAAAAAAGTACTTATAAAATATTTAATATTTTTAAAACCATGATTATAATTATATAATAAAAAAACTTTCAATTTTTGTGGATAGCTTTATATATATTAAAAAATGAAGTATATAGATAATCATCATAAGAGGCTCTGGAAAGATATGAAGTCAATAACAGGTAATTAACTTAAAAATATTAAATTGTTGACGAGTAAGGTTATTATCAGTTCAATCAAGGATGGACAAAACATTTCACAGCTGTCTTAATGCCAACAATTTTCCAATATGCAGCACAGTGCCAAGTGTTCATTAACATAGGAACGAAAATAGACAAAGTAGCGTAGTCCAAAAAATAAACAGACAAGTAATATGGTCCCTTTCACTTTTTGGCATATATGTAAAGAATGTTGAGTAAACATGTATTTGTTACTAAAATTATTATTAGAAAAGTCATGTTATTTACAAAAAAGAAATAAATGTAAGAAAAGGTATAATGAGAAATAGTGAAATTTTCGAAGTTTGCTTTTCTCACAGAATATACTATTTCACTATTCTTTGAATGAATGAGGATTACTCAACACCCCTGCATATTTTTTTGTTTTGAAAAAGTCACACGCATTCTGCTGTTATTTGCATTCTACTAACAATCAAATATCAAACACCCTCCAATAGGTTCTTAACAATTGAGGCTAAGATGAAGCATTGAGGCTAAGTTCTTAACAATATTTTGCAACAACAATTCTTCTTTTTCTGATGAAGATTCCTTGCAGGTTTTATAAAACAGTACAAGGATCTGTCTACATTCAACTTTTCAGAAAGTTCATGCACTCATGTACTCAAGTAAAGTTGAATGCTTGAAGTGAGTTCACAATTTTTCTTTCTGGACTACCTCATTTGTTATGTTAGGCTCTAATATCAGGTACATGTGTGTTACTACCTATTTCGTGATCTGGGAAGCTAATGAAAGACCATCACTAAAATTTTGCACTTCAATAGTTAGGATTTCTGCAACATCTCTTCATCACAGTTCTCTGAAAATGTAACATCTGGTGCCTCCTCAATATCATCTGCGGGCTAATAATAATGGAATACAAAGATGTCATAACTCCCAAACATGAATAAGAAGAAAATGTGTAACATATCCAAAAGTACAACTTACATGCCATAGTTCCAGTAGATGCCAAAACAAAAAACTCAATATCATAACCAAGCAAAAGAGCTTGCCTGCCCAAGCTCCACAAGACAAGTATCTAAAAGAAAAGAGACAATAAGCAATAGAAGAAGTAGCACTGATATTTGTAAGGTCTGGAAAAATGATCTCACATTAAGATGTCACCATTTCAACAGAGCATACAATATATAAATACTCAGATTCTTTTGATCCTACTCCTAAGTTATGTATTTATTTTACATATGAACCACTTAGGCTAACAAATCAAAACTGTAGTTTAGTTAAATGAAGATCCCAAAGTACAGTGCTTTGATTCTGACTTCCGTTACAAGTAGATTAGATAATGCTCAAGTAATTAGCTAATCACATGATTGAAACAGAATGAACAGTGGACCTTTTTGTACAATTATGTGTTGCAGATAGAATCAAAAAGAATCAGGAAAGTATTACCGTGAGAGACATTCTAATAGACTTTGATTGGGACATTTCGAAGCACGATCATATACAATTTCTGTCCGCTTGGCAACATCATGCCAGTTGTAGAGTTCCCTCATCTACAGAAAATAAATAAATGAATTGAAGGGTAATTAATTTTCACACTGAAAGCAACAGAATGAGGCTATTTAAACTACAAACACACTCGATTGTGCATGACTTGTGGATCAATTTTGGGAAGCATAGATATTGCTGTTTGGATTGCTTGCACTATATCACCTGGATCAGGCTCTGCCAACACAACCATGTCATCGGGTAAAACCTACAGCAAGGGAGTTAATATATTGATTATAGGATTCCACAATTGTCTCAATAGCCATGTAAGTGGATCTGGTTAGAAATGGAAGTTCGTATCAGTTAATAAAAAAAAAACTATATTGAAAACCTTTATACTAAAACCAAACAGGTGCAAAAAGAAGATGCCAGATACCTACCTCAGGAACACCACCAACTCGTGTGCTCACTGTTAACAGTCCACAACTAGCAGCCTCTAATATGGCCATGCAAAAAGCTTCTGTCAAGGAACTACAACAGCGCAAAGCTCAGATAAGACAACAGATATAAAAGAAATAATATTGGAAAGAACTCAGAAGTACTCAAAAAAAGAATTTAAATCCCAGAAAGCATAGAAGGTGCGAGCTGATAAAGTTCATGTCCTCAATACTTTTTTAAAATCAGATAATTTCATATTGGAAGAATGTAATACTGCATAGCTTGGATTGATCTTGATTTTTTATGCAATTCCTATGTCATGGATCAGCATGTGCAGGTTCCACATTGACTTTATGTGATGTAAGCCAACCAGGTGTACATAAACAAAAGGTAGAAAGAAAGTAACATTAATCATAGTGGGGTTCTTCAAGGTTCATGCTCACAAGTTTGAATGAACTAGTGTCCCCATTCTACGGGTCTTAGAACCCCTAGATTGAATTGGATCTGATTAAAATTACCCCTTCTCCTAAAGATGTAATACTACACTCCTTAGATCACTAGTGTCTGTCATGTCCCACATATAAACAAGAGGGTTGAATTTTAGATTCTTCCCAATGGTTAGAGTCAGTGAGTCATTAGAATCGCTAGGAAATAGGAACATTAATTGCTAAGATCAGCTATCAAAAACCTTAGCTCAAGGTTCGACCTTCTTTTTTAGCAATGTGTATCGTTTTATGTTGTATAGGCTGGTATAGAGCCTAAAATTTCTCCTACTTCTGTAATGACCAAGTAAAAAAGAATAAAGATACCTCTCTTCTGACCCAAACAATTCGGAGTAGATGAGTGATCCCACATAGACAATGGAGCCAAAAGAACACTTACGCTGATTCCATTTTTGACAAATCTTACGACAAAAATGGCAGAGGTTTTGTACAAAACTCAGGCTACATCACAAGCCCCGATATCTAATTCGTCTACTGTACCCATCTGCACCAAGTTGGATGGGCTCAACTGAGATCCCAGGTGGCTGAGACACGCATCTCAAGCAAGAACAAACTGGGATATATTGACAGATCATATCCTCCATTGTTACAACTGATCCGACGTTAAGAAATGATGGACTGATAAGGCTGTACGAAAAGATGGTTGATCAACTCAACCGACTCCTCATTGATGGGGAATTTCATTAGCTTCCCAACAACCAAAATCTTGGATACCGGACGTCATATAGATTTGATTCAAAATTTACATCTATGTAAAATATAACTTTTCTTTTCAAACTATGTCGGACTTAAGGCAATCCTACCATTCTGATTACAGAAGTAACCCTTCCTATCCTTATGGATTTTATCTTCATTAACCTTTAATTGGGCCTTGCCCTTATCCTTTCTACCTAGCCTGCTCTTACTGTCACTGGCTCCATTACGAGATGAACATAGTTGTCCTTCATTTCTTTAATCTCCTTTCCAACCAACATGACCTTAATTTCCTTAATGTTCCTCTTTTCTTTAAGGGTGTTATAATTCACCTAGAATTGGCCAAATTCAACCGGAAGGGAGTTCAAAATGAATTGTACTAAAAGGGACTCATTCACTTCTATTCCCATAAACTTTAACTTTGTTGCTAGATTAGACATTTTAGTCACATGATCATGAAGTGATTGAGATAAATCAAACTTTCTGTTTGTAAGATCACTTATCAGGTTCCCTGTAATCGACTTGTCAATAAGGGCAAGGCTCAACTGAAGGTTAATGAAGATAAAATCCATAAGGATAAGAAGTGTTACTTTTGTAATCAGAATTATCACCTCAAGATGGATTGCCCTGAGAGGAAGAACTGGTTTGAAAAGAAAGATATATTTTATATATATGTAAATTTTGAACTCAAATCTTATTGATGTACCTAATAATACCCAATGGATTGATTCTGGACCAACTGCTGATGTATCACATATTTTGTAGGGATTCCTTTTAATCTAAATCATAAGAGGAGATGAAAAGTTTCTTTCTTTGGGCAATAGAATGAAAGAAAGGATAGAGGGCACTGGGACATATAGATTAATCTTGAATAGTGGACATCATATATTTTTGGAGGGATGTTTTATGTACTTGGATGTTCTAGAAATTTAGTTCCTATTGCAAAGTTGGATGAATTAGGATTTTATTTTAAGATTGGACACAATGTTTTCCTTTTATTTAAAAATATCTATCATCTTGGCACAGCATATTTTGCACCTTGTATTTGTTGATTTTAAAACATCGCAATTTTTTTTATCTTCAAGGAAGATTGTGAGATCACTCTCAACCCTATATGATGGACGAAAATACTAAACTTCTCTGCAATCACCTCAACGATGTATAAAATTAATCCCTAAGTCTCAGAAGATTTTCCTTTTTTCTCTTAAAGATGTTATCAAAATATATAGCTGAGAAGTAAGACAGATGACAACAAAAGGAAAATCTTGAAGGTTGATATGCATCAAACAAAGTTAGCAAATTATATTTAAGCTTCGTCCACTTTACAATGGCTTTCTTGTGTATCGAAATTATATTTTACACCGTGTCCTTCTAACACTAGTAACGTTCTATGGTAGTGAATATTTGGCAGCGAAGTAACAACAACAGCGAAAATAAATGTAAAAGATCTGACCAACTGCTACAAATTATGACAGAATTATTAACTCGTCACCACGAAAGAGTAAAGTTTAGGAAGAAACTGAACCAGGTTAAGAAGATATGTCCAGATATTAGAACAGATCGAACTTGTGTATGTGGTACAGCTCCCAGTAAATCAACTCTATCAAAAAGAGAATGTTTTTCTCTCATCTCTTCCAATCTCACACGCTTAGGTCCATCACCACCGATAATGAATCGAACCTTCAAATAGATATTTAAGTCATGCCTTCGAAAGCATTCAGTAAAAGGGCTATAAATTATATAATGTTCTCTGGACAAACATATTTCTTTTGGTGCATAATTTACTGTGGCTCCTACATGAGGAAATAAATAAAATAGTAACGCTACATGCAAAAGATGCAGAGAGATCATAAATCATAGGAATGGTTGAGACAGATGGAATATAGAGAGGGGTTGTTCTGTCAATGGTAAAATATTCACATCACAGTGATCACATACACATGAAACATCAGATTTCATCAGGTTCTACCAAGATGCTAAGGTTAACATAAATGATTTTAAGAATGCACTTATCTTTGTTATGCATAATTGCATATGCAGTAAGATCACACTATATTTTTTTAAGGTCATGCCAACAATTAAGTTATTGGTACAAGTTATTGTAAAACTAAAGTGTCAGAAGAAGAATATAAAATTAATAGATTCTAAATTAGAAAATTATGAAGTTAGAATTCTCGAGAAGGTAGAGATTTATACGTGTTTAATGTACTTAACAGCAATGCACTTTTGAAAAACAGACATTAGATGTTCTCGAAAACAAAAACATTAACAGAGCACCAGAAGAAGCACCATTGAAATTTTGTTAAGTAACACAAATTTTCAGCTTTTGTATCTACAAGCACCAGAATAGAAAGGGATACATTACCAAAGGAGTCTTACATTAATACCATAAGCTCCATGTTAGACAAAATCCAATTTCATAAATTTCATCGTGCAGGACAAACTAACAGTGATTTCAAATTTGAACAACTCACATTAGGATGTAACCGGCATACTTCTGGAATGACTTCAACAAGCAAGTCTGCTCCTTTCCGGTAAACCAATCGACTGATAACAACAATAACAATTTCCGATCCACTAGGACGTTCCAATGCTGGCTTGAACATGGCAGTATCAACAGCATTAGGAATAACAAAAACCTTTTCTGGTGCCAAACCTGATCTCAACACTGTGTTTTCCTTGCTTGTGTGGGAGACACAGATTGCTTGACTCACATCTGCCAAGGTAAACTGCATCACCTTGTTCATATGAATGCTACCAACATCCCCAAAACCATGCAGAGAATGATCTGTGAACACAACCTTGTATCCCATGATCCTCGAATTCAAAAGGGCATCATGGCAAAGTGTTGAGAAAGTTTGATGCCCATGTACTACAGTAATTCTTTCTCGAATGAGAATTGTTCTTATAATTGGTAACACCCCATACAAGGTTGGAAATGTACTCTGATTAAAGAACGGTCTCCACGGAACATAGTAAACTTTCAAACCACCAGTCATATATCTAACCCCAGAACGATTTCCATAAGCATGAGTCACCACCACCACCTGAATCGTCAAAAAAATCAACACTTCAAATCAATAAAAATTTACCACAGCACAAACTATAAAAAAAAATGGTAAACTACTCCACGTACAATTTTCATTTACTACATCGATCTCCTTTGTATTTAGTACTAAAGAATAATGAGAAGCTATAACTCAATCCTGAGTACTACCACACCAGATAGCACAGAGCAACAAAAAAAATAAAATCAATTTGTCTCTATGAAGACAAAGTACCAATAATATGACATGAAGAAGTCTAATAATAATTTGGGTTCTGAGGATCAACTCCCAAAATTAACTCAAAATGATAAATTGGGAAAAATCTAAAACGCTGACCTTGTGGCCTAACTTGAGCAAGCATTGAGAGAGGTAATAAACGTGGTTCTCGACACCACCAAAGTTGGGATAGTAAAAATCAGATACCATCAGAACTCTATGCTTCTGTGATGGTGAATCACCCATCACAATGACGTACCTGTTGCATGCAGCCAAAGGTGAAAATGAGATGCTTGTAGTAAGGAAAAAGGTGGTGAAATTCATGAGAAATGAAGGAATGGTAATACATACACCTTGCAGAAGGAGAAAGTGAGAGAGTGAGAATGAGTGGAAGAGAAGAGAAGAGAAAAACGCTTCCTTTCTCTGTGTTTTTCGCCGTTTCAAATTCTTGCTACGTTCAGTATGAGTTTGAGTTTGAGTATTACAAGGTAACGAACATGGTCAACATTTTTCTTACCTTTTACGTGTGAATGGTCAGTGCTCTTGTCATTTTCTGATTTCTCCATTAGCTGTAGATAATTATCAATTACCTTTTTAAATACAGTTATTGTTTAAGATAAGAATTTAATTTTATTTGGAAAAAGTTGAAGGTTACTCTTAACGTCATTATTAATTAGCAACTAATAGCAATACATTTAAGATCACAATTTCCGATACCAAAAAGATATAGAAAATAATTATTAATACATTATTCTCTTTATGAAAAACAAATTCATCATCATGCCATAATTAAACTTACTCACTCTTTGAAATAATTAACAATTAATCTCAGTCCTCTCTCTCTCTCTATATATATAATGTAAGAATTTAAAAATTTTATATTTATATATTATGTAAAATTTAGAAAATTGGATTTTAAAATTGATTATCAATTTAAAACGATGAGATGGAATAATTTAATATAAATAAAATTTTATAAATGAGTTTTATTATTTAAAAATACATAATTTTTTTAAATTGTCTATAAAGTTTTTTTCTTTCTCTTTAGCTTTTTTTAGTTCATATTAGGATTATCTTTGATACATAATATTTTATATAATAATTTTTATCATATTTTCTGAAGTGTTAACAAAGTTAGAAACGTATTATAATTAAATATTTCATGTGTAATTTATTCACCTTTTATTTAACTCTTAGCATCATTCTAGGATTAAATAATATTTTTAAGAAAATATTTTGTACTTAAAATCTTTTCATTTTTATAAATGATACTTTAAAAGCATATAAGAGAGGATAAGTAAGATGTACTTATTCATTGACATCTTTTTAAAACTTTCAAGTTCTACAAAAAAAAAATAGTTTTAAAAGTAGATATCATGTCATCTCTCTAATAAAAAACCATAATATTTTTTTACTTATTTTTATCTAACACAAAACGAATCACACTAATTGCATATGCTGAAGGAATGTGGTATTGCATTCAAAAACATAGGTTGGCTTTGTAACCAACCACACAAATAAAGCAATAATATTCGTACCCACAGTTTATATCCTATGAGACCATAACAATTTTCTCCAATCAATCATCCTAAATATTCTTTACGCAATAACATCTTCAAATTTTATATTTATAATCAATAAAAAAATTGTTATGAATTACATCTAGATAAATGAATAAAATATAAACTCAGGTTTCTTGACAAAAAACACTTACAGAAATAGTATATTAGCTTTTACCAAGCTTGAATGAACATAAGCTTGAAGATGATATAACAAATTACATTATGTATGCATGTATATATTGATAAGAAATATATTGCATAAGGCTTTTCAGTCATAAGATTATTGTGATGGACGAGGCCACTTGAATAAGTCTGTATAATGGAAAAGTGTCTCTCTATTGTGAAATCTTGTTTGTGGCCCTTTGTTTGGTACCATTTGACTATGACTAATAAAATCTTATGAATCTTATAAGATTAATTTCATTGAAGGAATTATGCTAGTGAAAAATGAATATATAGAGTTGATAATGATTACAATTGATACTTTGAAAGATGATAGTAAGGTTTATTAATTTTGGAAAGTGATGACAAAATATCATTTATTTTGACAATAGATATTATGTACGATTCACCATAAATTAGTGAGATAGTATGAAAGATAAGGCATTCTCCCAACATCATTCAACTTGAATAAAGTAAGTCTACTAAATTTTAAGAGTGTGGTGGACTTGATATGTGATATGTTAAAAATGAAAAAAAAAATTGTAACTAAATATTGTAGAAATGAATTTTATGATTTGTATGCAAACTCAAATATATTTTGCTTATAAATAGTGAGAAACTCATTTCATATATAACATTTTCAAAGTCAATGGCATATTGTTAATCCAAAGTATACACATAGATTAGTGACATTGGGAGCAGGTAGACACATGGCTTTTATGGATGAAGACATTTTGTGGGACACCTTTGATACATTGAGTAAATGAATTACCTATATACACAACCTATGTACAATATGACTTATGAGTGTTTTATTTGGCGGACTGAACCAACACCATTGTGCTATCGTAATGTTGCACGTGTTAAAATCTTCAATTTCTTTTATTATTCTTTGTTATCATCATTTGTTGCACTCATTTCCTTAAGGAGAAAAATGTAGATATTTTACCTCTTGTCTACTTCAAATATCTAATCTCATTATTCACTCACCTTCTTACTTAACCTTAGTTAGGGGAAGGGAGAATTGTGACTCGTCACAAAATGACATCCTAGAGAAGGAAGAAGAGGAATTAGAGGAGGAGTTAGGAATATAAATGAGTTTGTCTCACATTTAGTAGAAATAAGAAAATTTAGTAATAGATATGAAAAAAGACAATCAAATTCATTTCTTTAAGATTTTGGGTTGAAAGTTTTTTGTAATCTCTTATATGAATTACTCATGGCTCATTAGTATTGAATATTTTTAATATATCGTCTATCCAAAGACCCAACAGTGTCATTAAAGTTAATTATTTGTTACGGTAACTAACTTAGGTTCGCATCTAGATAAATAATCCTAGGTTGTGAATTTCTTGTATAAAAAATATTCTTGGGGTTCAAACAAGCATGTTCTGTTGTGGTACACAATAATAGAAGTAAAGAATCAACATGAAACTATGATACTTGTGGTTAAAAATGCTTTCAATTAAGGAGAGTGTACTAATGTGGAAATGAATTATATTTGACACAACGATTTTTTTCATTCAAGTTTTAGTATGAATCCCATATTGAGTAAAAGTGATAAAATTAAGCAACACACAAGGAAAGAAATTTACAAGTGCATTGTCTTATGGTTTTAGGTTATAAATGGTATTATAATGTCATATATATGTTTGTTTATGGCTCATTGATGTCAAATTGTTCCACTATACCCCTTCAAAAGTTCTAACAAGAAAAACATGTGGTAGAAAACTAGAGACATTGAATGAACTCTTTATGACAATGGGTGCAATAAGTATTAGTTTCATTATCTCATTATTATCTCCATCATACCATCGTACCTAACAGGTATAAAATTTTTGTCTAATCCATATCAGGTAACAAGTATGCTCACATATCTACTTTCTTATTGTTTCACTATCAATTAATTAATTTTGTTAAAAAGAATAATTACAAAGAAAATATGATATTATCAAATATTTAATATAAAAAGACAAATTTTCATTTTTTTAATATCAAACATTTAGAAATCATATCGAAGTATAAATAATAATTAGATAAAAGAAAAATAATTATATAAAATATTACACAATTACGTTAAAGCGTAATATAAACAAAGTTGATAAAGTTAAAAAATATTTTTAAAATTATAAAAAGAAAAAACATATTCAAGTTTATTAATATTTCAAATGTCTCTTTGTTTTATTTCTCTAAAGCCTAATGAAATCTCTTTTTTATTTGTAATAAATATTATAATACACTACTTGAACCAAATTGCATAGAAAAAATAGTTAAACTAATAATAATTTGAATTTATGCATAATTTTTCATCTTTTTGAATTTTAATTTACGTTGGATGGTGATAAACAAGATCATGACAATAATATGAACTAAAATATTATATTATATAGTAAATGAAATGAAATGTCTTTTTATATAATTACAATAGTAAAAGTACATCGATGAGAAGAGTTAAAAAGTAAAAATAAATATAATTAATGGTACGATAATATGGAAAGTAACTTGAAGATTTGATAAAACTTTACAGAACTAGTTGAATCCTTAAAGATAATGAAATTTGTTTTAATGAAACAAAATTTCTTTAAAATGAAACAAAAATTAAAGATAAAAAAGTTTTTTATATTGTCTAGTAAGATAAAGAGTTTACACTATTAAATACTTGAAATTGAGAGCTACACATTCTCATATGAAAAATATAAATAACAAGTAAAAATATAAAAAAAAGTATAAATAATCAAATGTGATATCTAAAAACTATTTGATTCACTGAATTTGATAATACACCAATTGAACATAGTTACATAATGAAAAAAAAAATTGTATAATCAAGGTTGTAATAATAGAAAATGTACCTTGGAGATGTGAGTAAAATTTGTGAATAACAAAACTAAAGTCAAACAATTATAAGATAACAAAATGTATAGCAAAAGAAAAAAAAGTTTTAAGCCTAAGGATTAAGATGATGTCATATATATATATATATATATATATATATATATGTGTGTGTGTTTCAGGTTCTAAAACTATGAATACTTTATACAGGAATATGGATATAAAGATGAGGATTGATATTGAGACGAGGATAAGATGAATGTGTACATACTTATCTTTGTTTCTATACCCAATTAAAAATTTATATATTATCATACACATACTTATATCTAGTCAATTCAAAAATTGGTTCCAATAATACTCATAGTATAAAAATTATATGTCATTCATACTCTTTCCCTTTATGCCAAATGGGTTTGAACTTCAGCATGTGCTAAATTGGTTTGACATATAATTTGATCGAGTTGACCCGACATTTGACTTGGATCGACTTGACTTAAGCCTTCAATCTGAGTTGACTGACTCGATTGAGTCTTCATCCTGAGTCGACTCGACTTTCATGAGTGGAGTGATAATGAAGTTAAAAGGACTAAAATTTCAAATTTCTTATACTTTTGAAAGTATTTGAAACTATTTATATTATTCATTTGAAATACCTCTCGAAAGTCTTTAAATTTGAATTTTTTTTCTAATTACTTTATCCATAATTTATTTTAATATAAATAATTTTCAAATAAATAAATGAAATATCCGTTTAAATTGTCTCATCCAAACATAAGGAATTTCAAAAGAAAATACACAAAATTCTTCAATTTGGTTATAAAGAGGAGCTTTCTTATCCGAATTTAGCTTAA